ACAAGCTCACTGTGACACACTGCTGTGGGAGCATAACCAGCCTGTTACTGTCACATTTCTTCTTACTTGTACCACTTTACTGTGTATAAACATATTAAGGCGATTGCACACAAATGTGACAACATTTTAAGTGTGGTTAACCATAAATTCACACAATATAACCATTTCTGGATTTTTCCAGTTAGACCTTGCCTTTGGATGTAAGACATCAACTGTCTGCAGTAACAGTAAGGAAGCAGCTTCCACACAGAGAGAGCTGCTGCACAACAACATTGACTCACAGAATCAATGCTGCTTTTTTAACTTTTTAGTCAGATAAGTCTGACCTCTCTGTATCTTTCAAGCCAAGCTAGCATTCTTGTGTTGTGTAGCTCTGTGATGCCGATAAAAGTCTTTTCATCATCCTGTTTCTTCGACCTGCATTAAAGGCCATTATCTTTGAGGCACGATCACAATGAGAAGAAGAATGGAGAGGTGAGGTCTGAAAGACAATGTAAATAAAAAGATTAAATCATAGGGGTGTCAAATGGATAGTGGAGAAATGATTACATTTTATTTATTTGAGTTCCTGGAAAGGTTTGCCTCTCATAAATGCAACATAGAATCAAACCCTAAAAGTACTAGGAAGAAAAGAAACAGACCTGATTTTTAATGGATGTGTTTGTTAAGTTTTCTTGCAATTTTATGAATAATTACAATTTAATGTACTTTATATCTATTTGGACCCAATTGAATTAGGTCAGTTGGTTTGCGACGGTACACTTTAGTAGTGTTGTGTGCAGTATTCTAACAATGTACAGTAGTATATGTGTGATAAGAGATGTTTTTCTTTTGACTGTATGCAGTATGTGTTTGAACTTGCATTGAAGTGAGCTACATTCTCCTCCCCCTGGAAGACTTTATGCACACAGGTAATCACTTGATTGTTGGTTGACAGCCATGCGTTGAGTTTGCTTGATGGCCTGTTGTCAGCTTGCACTACTGTCGTTCTGCAAAGATGGCTCATCATTGTAAAAATGCTCATTTAAACCCTCCACTATTGTCAGCAGCGACAGAACAAAGCTAAGCCCTTGTGACATAAACGCAATGTCCGTCTTTTTAGAAATGGGTGGTTATGAAAACAAGACAGCATGTTATTAAAATAAAGTCATGGCTGGCAGCCTGTAGGATTGACATTGTTGTGATGCTGGCTGCTCCAACGCAGAGAAGGAAAAAATAGTGCAACAAAGCGGTGCAAAGAGCATGCTGCAGATGAGATGGGATGTGGATTTAGCCAAATAAGGTAAATGAGAAAGGAAGAAAAACGTTGGGAAAGGTGTCAGACTGAAGCACGGGAATGCAAATGAAAGACGGCAGAAGTTGTTGCGGGATAGCTGACACCACATTGTGAACAGCTGAGTGGAGAGGTCCGCAGCAGTCAGTTGTCATTGGCCTCAGATGAAAGCTATGTGGCTGGGAGTGGAGTACTCCACTGGTGTTAATTTTAGGGAGCCCACCCTAGCTTGCAGAAGAGCATAGAGGCAACCTTTACTCATATGTCTAAATTTAAGAGGGGAGGCTGGGAAGCTAGACTTCTGGTCTCTGGATCAGACCACTTTCCTGAGTGAGAGGTAGAATGGTTTCTGCTGACCTTTTTTTTTTTTTTTTGTAAGCTCCTCATGTGCATGATTTGGGATTTCCCTGTAGCAGAAATAACAGAAGGCAAAGAATTTTTTTTTTTAAAAAGATCATCAAAACAAGCCATCATGTGTATTGTTTTAGTGACTTTGTTTTAAAAGAAACAGTGGCTGCTGCAAATTGTTTTTAAGTTTTGTTCTAAACCTGTTGTTTGAAGTTTGTGATATTTTTTAATAATGCTGTAAGAACC